CAGGGTTCTATCACATTAAAATAGTTTCAAAGTAATCTTTTGTCGGAATTACGATTTACTATTCTCAACAAAAATTCTTTTCGAGATAGAAAAGAAACAGGACTAGGTTCGAGATCGATCAGTATACCCAGTGGTGTTGATATTGGTGTTTCATATTTAATTGGTGATGTTTTGTTGGGAAATAAATGTCAGGACGAAAAGCAATCTAATCTACAATACTCTAAAATCCGTGAACTCATAAAAACAATTATGAACAATGCGCTATACCATTACAACAAAGGACAGTATAGTGAATTTCTTTATACCTTGACTACTCACTATGCTAAACCAAAACTGTTAGTAGGAATTAAACAAATAAAACAAGGTAATAGTTGTAAAATTTTCCTTGACATTCGACCTACTGTGATTGTGGAAGAACTTTTGAGCTACGATTTTTCACCCGAAGGAATTGCCAATTTTCTCGTTTTACTTGGCGAAGTTTTGCTCAGTGAACCTGATTTAAAGCCGAAAAAAGAGTTCACTGGCGATATACATCTGGAGTTACCAAATTATCCTGATTTCATATATTTTGCAACAATATTATTTGAGGAAGTTTTAAAAAATACACAACTGACGGAACGAGCCAAAAATATTGACAATAAGATTGAATCGAGAATCTCATTTGTAGAAACAAGATGCATAGCACATCTTGAAAAAAACTTAGTAGATTGTGTTTATTCTGTGCCGAATGAGTACACAACAGAGAGATTAATTGTTTCTGCTAGTGTTCGTCTAGACGCAGTAAAACTTGTTGCAAAAGTTAATTACGCTATTGCACAAATGATAGTTGGAAATACAGAGAGTTTACAAAAAAGTGTCAAGATGATTAAAAGTGTCAAAGAAGAATTGATGAAAGATCTTACAGAAGAAAAAATGTTTGTCGTAAGCGAAATTCGTCTTCAAGCATTGACAGACATTTTCACTACGTTTGGTTATCCCGATGATGTATCATATGCTAGAAAAAAAGTAGTTTTTGGTAGTAAAAAAATCACTGGTTCAAGAAGTGATCTGTATATAAAAAATATCAATAAAGTTTTAAAAGATGATCAGACAGTTTTACAGTGTAAACTACCGATTTTGTTTGATGATAATGATATTGACGAGTTTGAATTGTTGGATAAAGTTTTAAATCAAGTTCTAAAATTGAATAAAACGCAATTTTTGGAATATGTGTGCTACTATTATCAAAATTATGCTGACCCATTGACATCTTTAATAAGAAAGATGATAAGAAAAGAAAAGTTTTCCAATATCAATGAATGGATGACATCGTTTTTACAACAAAACAAATCATTGAATTTTCACTATTTACCGATTTTATCTCTGTTGTATAATCTAATTTTTATACCATGTACTGTGAAAAGCCATCATGAACATAAATTTGTATTTGTTCCAATTGGAAAAGTGATTGATTTTTCTAAACAACAGGAAAAAGTTTCTATATATATAATAACAGAAAAAAAGAAATGTCCAGAAGATGTTAGACCAGTAAAAGGTGCTTTTGTGGCCAGTGAGATTTCATTGAATTATATATATAATCAGTTAGATTCAGCTACAGATAATCTAACTCAAAGTCATTTGGTAAATTTAATTGCGCTTCATTATCAGCACCAGGCTGAAAAAATTAATAATACCAATCATATAGAAGCATTAAACATATGGATTACAGCACAGAAATATTACAGTCACTCGTTGATACTCATTCCACATAATTTAAGAGCAATGCTCGGCTATGCTACATGTTTAGTTAAGTTAAGTAGATATCACTTAGCTGAGAAGTTTTTGGAGGAAAAAGTTGAAAAAAACACATATTTTTGTGATTCACCAGAAACATGGCTTCTCTTAGGTATTGTAAAACGTAAATTGCAAAACTATGATCAGGCCAAGGATGCTATTAAAACAGCACTCAGATTGAAAACGAACTATGTTGAAGCAAAAAATGAATTGAACTTGATATTGAGATTACAACTAGAAACAACTGCACAACGAATCAAACTATACAAAGAAATGAGTTTGATTCATACCGAACCTAAATCTCACCAATACAATATTCTTTCTATTGACGGTGGTGGCATTAGAGGATTAATACCAGCCATCTGGATTAGTGAGTTAGAACGAAGAACTCAATTGAGCAGCTCCTCTATGTTCCACATGATGGCTGGAACATCAACTGGAGGGATCATAGCTGCTGGTCTTTCGTTACCAGATAAACCTGGTATCAGAAAACCGCGTTATAAAGCTGTGGATCTTGTTCAATTGTACACAGTCCATTCTAAAAGAGTATTTTCTCGCTCGTCAATCATAGGGAAGATTTTTAATTTAGGAGTTAAATATACTGATGAGGGGCGCAAGACCTTGTTCGAGCACTACTTTGGAGATACTCAATTATCTCAAGCACTGACTGATCTTGTCATCACGGCGACTACCTCTCGCAGTTGTACCACAGAGCTATTTCAACGAAGTGAGGCTATTAATAATTACAGAAAAAATTATAAACTCGTTGATGTTCTCATGTGCACAACAGCTGCACCTATGTATTTTCCATCTTATCGCTTGCACGATACTGTTTTTGTCGACGGTGGAGTTCAAGCTAATAATCCAGCAATGTGTGCCTATACTGAGGCATGCAAGAAAAATATCAAACGTGAGGATATTTTTATTCTATCTCTTGGTACCGGCGATTATGTACCAGATCCATTGAATCCGAATGCTAAGCGACATCTTTTATTTTGGTTAACTCATAAGCGTGATGTTATGAAAGTCATTTTGAATGGTCCACAACATAATATTGAGTCTCAATTAAGTAATATATTAGGTAGTGATCAGTATAATCGATGGCAGATTTTACTTGAAAAACCAATTTCACTTGACGATATAAGCAAAGAAAGTTTAGACAATCTAATAGAGCTTGCTCGTGCTTATTTTGACGAAATGGATGCTTCTGATAGTAATAATCGATTAGGAAAACTTATCGAGCGATTTAAAGAGTAATGGAACTAAATCAGTGCAATCTTTTAGTGTTCATGATTCTTCATTATCAAAATAGTCGATCTGTTTTTTTTTGGCGTGTGAGACATTCTCAAACATACACAACAGAAAAGTAAATGAAAGAACGAAGCTTAGGAATCAGCTGTCATACTTCTAAACTCAAAATACCACTTTTAATTACTTACATTTTTCCTTTTGTATGTTTTTTTTTCGCTTATTGCTTCTAACCACTTACTTAGTTTTCTGTAGATTTTATTTTATATTTTATCTTCTTTTGCTCTATAATGGAAATTACTTTTTGCTTTATTTTTCAATTTTGATCAATTTTGCATGAAGATGAACTGATGAAATCGTTTTCTCTGTTGATACTTGAGGGTGTGGGTGTGGGTGTGGGTGGGTGTGGGTGTGGGTGGGTGTGGGTGTGGGTGAATGTGGGATGTGGTTGTGGATGTGGCTTCATCTTATCTTAATCCACACCCATATCCTCAATTTCAAGAAAAACTAATATGATATTTGGAATCAGCATAAAAACTGAATTGATCTACGTTCCATTTGAAACAATTTCTAAAACTTTTTTTTTTGGTCGAAAAATTTAACCGTGGTCTTCCTCAGAGACATGATGAAAAATGAATTCTGTCAAATCACCTTTCGGATATCCTAGAAAAGTCTTGGAAGTTGTTTAAAATTATTTGATGGACAAATGGCAACTATCTACAAAATAAAATACGAGTTTTCATTGAATTGAATTTGCATCATGTCCCTGACAGGACCTACGACTAAATTTTTCGACCAAAAAGAACAAAGTTTCAGAAATCGTTTAAATTGTACATAGATCAACTCAGTTTTTGATGCTGATTCCAAATATTATATTAGTTTTTATTTAAATTGAACTTTTTCTAATCGAAGCCTCGTAAGTATTGACTAAAATGGCATAATAACTACGCCTGGAGAATAGTCTGCTTAGGAGCTTCTTAAGTGGTCATATTTTTTGGTTGGACAAAATATATGGTTTTGTAGTTTTTTCAAAGGGCAATCAAATGAACAATACCAAATTTTTGGTCTTTTCAATTTTTACAATAAAATATTTATTGAAAGATTAAGATGGATAACACATACAATAAATATACTAATAGTATGTACTAGGGTATTGGACATATATTTTGTTAAAATAAACAATTAATTGGTGATTAATGTATAGGACTGAAGCCTCATTAAAGCGCTATGGAAATGAAAACACCAATTGGATTTTGTGAGTCCTACTTATTGTCAAATAGAATCCACAATGACACATTTGATTATTCAAAAAAAATGACCAAAAATGCACTACTTTGTGCATAGTTTTTAGCTTTCAAAGTTCAATCAAAACCTCATGAAACTAGGACCAAGATGTTCGTCTTAACTTGCTATTCCTGTTAACATATGATTTTATAGGGTTGACCGAGAAAAGTACGGATGGGCCGATTTGACGTATTATGCGGCTCCGTTCGTTCTCGTCAAATATGAAGAATGAGCATGTCAGGAAAAGAAATAATCTCATTCATTCATTTATTTTCTATTTCATAATCAGACCAAAAGTACATTAGTGGTATCATTGATGAAATCGGGCAGATAGAACGAGCATATATAAATTTGTAGTTTTTCACATTTGATAAGTAAAGAAAAAAAAGAAACATAGATATAGATAAACATGGAATATTCATGTATTCAATTGAATGATTTACCTGATGAAATTCTTCTGATTGTTTTCAAAAAACTCAACAATATCGAATTGCTTTACTCGTTAATAGATGTCAATAAACGATTAAATAAAATTCTTGCATGACTTTATTTTTACAAATAAATTAATATGAAAGGAATATTTCTCGTATCATCGTATTTCTTCACTATCTGATCCAATACTTGATCGATTTTGTTTACATATCCTATCTAATATTGAACATAAAATCAAATGGTTTAATCTTAAAACATCATCTATGGAATGTATTCTTCTTGCTGGAAATTATTCGAATTTATCTGAACATGGTATATATAACATTATAAAAGAGAATGCTTTATATCTTGCTATAGGTAAAATATAATGTCTGGAAAATGTTTTGGTAGTAAAAATCAAGATGATTAATTTGACTAGATGATTTAAATAATGTTTGATCTTTTATTTAGATCAAACATTATTAACTCATATGTTCAAAAATCAGATCTCATCACTTCTTATGCAAATCATTGGCAACGAACATTTCACATATGATCTCTATGCACTAATATTTACAAATATCATTACCATGTTTTCTAATTTAAAATATCTAAATTTTGATCCATGTGATGTTTATTTTCAAAGAATATCATTCAAAAATATGCTACCATCTATTTTTTTCCTCAAATTTTTTAGAATTGTATATTAAAGTAGATTATGTCGACGATTGTCTTCATTTACTTGATAGTCGTTTCGATCAACTTCGTGTATTATCACCGCGTTCTCGTACAATCTCAATAATACATAAAGTAGATTTTTAGCAATTTCCTATTTATTTAAAACAAATTATTATACTTTAGGAAAAACTATTAAATTTAAAATGTTTTTCATTGTCCTGTAATTTGAAAATATACTTTTATGATGAAGCAGTTATACTATTTGTACATCGAATGCCAAATTTAGAAGAACTTCGTTTTTATTTTAAATGTTCTCGTAAAAAATCATTTGTTGATGGAAATGATTTGACAGCAAATATTATTAAGCATTCTAATCAAATTGATTTATTAACAAATGAACATATCGAAAATACATTTAGAGGATTTCCAAATAATCAAATTATTTTCTAAATAAAAATGAAGGTCAATGTTATGTTTATTCATATCCATTTACATTGACAAGTTATGAATGTATTACAAATAACTTTCCAGGTGGATTATTTACATATGTTCGTGAAGTATCATTATATGATAAACATCTTTTTGAACATAAACATTTTCTTCAAATTCAAAAATCATTTTCATTCATGGAAGATCTAACTGTAACTAATTGGAAACCATAAAATGAAAAATCAAAAAATTTAGTAAATATTAATGGCAAATATGAATGATTATACTGCTAGTCATCGGAATTAGTTAAGAAAATTGATCTGCTGTATTCTATCTTTTCTTACATAAAACCCAAATTCTTCAGAAAAATTTCAGTAATCACTCTATAGTATGTAAGTTCTAATTAAACACATAGTAAAACTAGGTGAAACTTAGACTGTGTTTCGGCTGTATATCTCATCTCATGATTCTGTATAATTTCTTTCAGCATTACTCTCACTTGTACATTGCTCTTATTCTATCTCATGTCACACTCACCCTCAATTATTCAATTCCTATTTCTTTCATTTTGATTATTATTAATCGAAATTGATCTAACGTCATCTGATGATCTTCTTAGCAGTAGTCGAAGCGTTTATGGTAGCTGATCTCTATCATGCTTAAAAAATGTTGTAAATTTTTCAACGAGTTTATTTTTATTTCAAGGATTATTACAAAGATTAAGATTTACAAATTCGGAAAATATGAATAAAAGTTTTCTGGACAAACAAACAATTCACATTTGTCATAAAGATATTTAATTACGAGATTTTCATCGGAGAGAAACTGTATAGCATCATCACTGTGTGCATATGAAAGACCGAGGTTAAACAGATGATTAAATGTAATTAATATAGAGAGTGTGGGTGTGGGCGCGAGTAAGATTCTTTGTTTAACTCCCACACCTTTTGACACATATAAGTCGAAAGTCTGGATATCGACATGACTTTAGTATTCATCTTTACTAAGACATGATCTCTTAAACTGCTAGACATTTCTTAAATAGTTTTTGTCCATCTTTTTTAGAACAAAAGAAAGTGATCTAACCTTTTTTGGTGGATTTAGATTAGGTAGTCCTTGTCAGAATATATCTGTGAAATAAAAAAAAGAAAGTCATGCACTCATTGAGTATCCCGAGTGATAGCTACATATTGGCGAAAATTGCTGCTCGATAGCTTCAAGTAGTGTTGACATATTCAAAAAATAGTGGAAACTCTTTCAGTCTGGTGTCTGGTGTTTCTTCCTTGTCGGACTCTCATTCACCGCAGGAAAGGAGGTGTTAAGAGACGAAATGTATTTCGCCTCATTGTTTCTTTTTCTTATGTCTCTCTCTTTCTTTGATTCGCATAACCTTTACTTCTTCTTTCTCGTGGTTGATTTTTTCTTTTCTGTGGTGGATATGACGAAACACTGATTCAAATCTGAATAGAGCGAGAGCATGCAGCAGCGAACGTATAACTTTGGTAATCTTTCGATTGCAATAGAAGCAAAATGAATACGATAATAATGGCAGAATGCATTTATTAGTAAGATTACATGAAGATTTCGTTTTTTCTGTTCTTCAACACATGTTTTTAATGGGTACATGAAAAGTAATCTGGTATTGGCATTGATATTTATCATCATTTTTGCGTAGCTATGAAAAATCGAATTGACGTTATGACGCAAAAAGCAATCTTATTACATAATCATCAGCGATGCACAAAAGCAATATCAGTTTTTTGACAAACTAACTTTCATTATTCATTGTAAATTGCTTTAATAAACATCTTTCTAAAGTACATTGTCTTATGAATGTACACGCTACGATTGACGTGAGCAAAAAGAATATGATGCTGTTTTAAAAAAGTTTCGAATCAGAAAAATTTTGCTGAATGCTCAAATTTTTCTTTTGCGAAGTACAAATATTTAATTCAAAAAATGACTTGCGAACATTTGTCAATAGAACAAACTGATAGAAACGACATAAAAGAAATCATGTAGGTTATCTCGTTTTTCAATCATATTTGCATTCTTTATTTCATTTTTTGTATGGAGTTGAACTAAAGCGATACTTACTCAACCTTGCCATCAAAAGATTGTGCTTTTTTTACCATCATATCAATTTGATATATATGATCAAACATTTTTTTTTCCTTAGACAAAGCTTATAGATACTTCAAAGAAATTGCAATGGTGAAGTATATGGCATCAGAATAAAATATTAAACAAGGAATTGTTTATTCAATTAATGCATACTTGAATGATACATTTCCGCTGACATCCGTATGTTTCGAAAACAACGACGACGAATAAATGATCATGAAAGTATCTGCTAATCATATCAGTTTTTAGATCGGAATTCAACAGAAGAATTAGTGCAGATGATTATTGCTCTCATTGTCTATGTACCATTTACATTTATTTTTATATTGAATGGTGCATTCTTCTTAGCAGTAGACCTTAAAGCAGGACAATGACAAATCTAATCAATATGATGCATACAAAAAAGTACATATCTTATTGAACGTGTTCTTTGCTTTGAAACACATGGTTTTTCGCGAATTTTAACTTTTTTGTAACTTACTTATGATTAAATGTCAAATATATAAGGATGCTATTGAAGTGAATTTTGTCAGAAGCACTTGCTCTATAATGCTTAAAACCATTTATGAAGCTTGACGCACTCATTCATACTCTCATAATTTGTATTGATCAATCAAATGTTTTGTGATGATTTCTTAATTCTTGATCATATCACCTATACCCACACTTTTTCTTAGTGAAGTCAGCACAAATATTAATCTGAAAATGTTATCATATTGGGACCTAATGTTTCAAATTTGGCATGGTGCGTTAATATCCGATTTTCTGTCGAGAAAAATGCAATTTATATATGTATCATATAGGACAATCTTGATCATCGTCGAATGTATCTCTTAATTGAAGTTTGTTTCTATTTTAGTCAGTCAACGAACACTAACAAGAGTAAGCGTTAGGCTAACGATGCATCAAATAACCATATTCTTAATCCTAGTTGGCCAACACTTGCAACGTAAGATAGATAACATTTGAGAATGAAATGCTAATGGTATTGTCATTTAAAAGTGCTTTTCTCTCCCACTAATTAGTCAACAATATCCACAAGAACATGTGAAACGAGTAAGTACATCGCTTCCAAATACACAATAATCATTCTATTTCATCAATGTTGTATGTTACATGAGTCATAGATCGTATGACAAAGAGAAAAAATAAAAAAATAGTTTTCTCTTCGACCATCGTAAGTTATCTTTCCCATGCCCTTTCATTTTTATTGTCCTATATCGAATTTCGTACCATGTACAATCGTCGAAACAAGAAACTCACAATGACGTGTTATTATTTATCTGTCTTTCGTGTTCTAATCAAAATATCACAACACAATCAAGGTGTTTTTGTGATTGTTTATCGTTTCGTATATAAATACACAGAGAGATCAGTATGACAAAGTGTGTTCTTTCTCACTATATCAATATAGTCGAATAACAATGTCACGAACAACAATATTCTTGATGTCTTCCATGATTATTCTTGTCGCTATGAGCGTCAGTCATGCTTGGAACTTTGGCAACATGAATCAAGTTGCACAATCTTTTCTTCAACGACATGGAATGCAAACATCAGGCAATGATAATGGTGCTCAAGGAAGATTTGCCATAGCATCTTGTGCCAGTGCTGCGTCTACTGGTAACTACATGGCATGTGTCGGTCAATTGGCTCATAAAATTTGGACCTTACATAGTTGGAGCGAAGATACACCGATCACACTTTGTGGTATGCAATGTGTTGGCAATCTTAAAGGGCGTATTTCGAAGTTCAAATGGAAATGGGATGCCAAGTTTCGATGTGATAGTAAAGCACCAGGTATCGAAGGACGTGATACAAAACAAAGTCGAAATGGGGCCATGGAATGGGCTATCCAAGACTTTCTCACCAAGGCATTTTCATCGGGTAGTATTTCTGTTCAAGATTTTCAATGTTAAACTAAAATAGATATATTCTATTCTTTATCAGTATATCTATCATAATTCGGAAATTTGATTCTTTTTCAATATTTTCTAATAAAATAATTTTTTGTCAAATACTCGACTTGAAAGCATGAAGGTGGGAACAAATCTGATTTTTCATGAAATGTCAAAGTCCATTGGCATACAGAAGGTGTAAGTGACGGTTTTCTCCGATTATATCTCATTTGTGAACGTGAAGAAAATTAACTCAGAATAAAATAAAATTGTTTTAAATTTTCAATTGATCTAAAGTTGATAATGCGTATAAAAATTAGTCTTCGAACTAATCTAAGTATTAAAATAGATTATTATTATCAACTGAATGTTAAATTAGTTAGACTTACCTAAGAAGAATTTTAATCAAAGTTAAGGCGAAGTTTCAATGAGGTTTTATCAAAATTAATAGTGGAAAATCAATATTTATTGTAGATTGATATATGTTGTGGGTGAAGATACGGGTGTGGGTTTCATTCAACACAAGATCTACACCAACATCCCATACCCACACCCGGTCCGATATCGGTTTGCCGGTCGGGTTTCAAGCCTTAAGAATCCGATCAATGATGGCGGTTAAAATTCAAAAAGTTAAATATTGAAAAACAACTCAAAGACAGTTAAACACATATAAATGAATGAGTTACAAAAGTGAAAATGCAGAAGAAAGTAGTTAAAAATGTATTTTTATATTTGCTTAACACAATTAATACTGGGTGAACGACGGAAAAGCAACTCATGAATGTATAAATGAATGCGACTTGTAAACGTGGAAGAATAAAGATATAACAAGATTTCTAATTCTTAATTTTCTATTTCTTTCGAAGTATATCTTCACTTAATTGATGATAGAACTATTTTTCATCATCATTTTAAGAGTTCAAATGTATTTAATACAGAACTTGCAATTACAGACGAGAAAAAAAAATCTAATAGGTTCATGAACAATAAAGCTTACAACGGTATATCACCAGATGTTATTTAAATTAAATTATTCATTTGCTAATTTTTCCATAAAATGTCTTTCCTATTTTTAGTTTTTCACACACGAGTGCATATTTTTAAGAATTGTTTCTAAACATTATTAATTCAAAGGTTCTCTAATAAACACTGAAATGAAGATAAATAGTTATTTACCAAATTATTTATGATCTTTAATAAATCATATCTGA